TTTATGACCTAGATGAAGCTTTTTAAACCTTAGTTTCAACCGACCGATATCAGGTCCTTTAATATGAACCATAAAATCCTGGGGCAACTAAACATTGAAAAATTCCCCTAATATCATCAATGTTCGACGTGTCCCTTTAACCACCTCTTCAATTATTGTTTCTTTATAAATTGATAATGTGTGTAACGTTAGACGCAACAACTTAATAGTGAGTTCCGAACACGGCTTACGTAGAGAGTTGTCTTTTTTCTATCTTCACCGTTAATGAGACCTTGGTGTATATTCAGAGAATGTGGATGTAATTCGTAAGTTTCGCTACATGTAGCGTAAGGAAGACTCAACCAAAAACTTCAACAAAAAGGGCAAGCACAAGCTGGGTTTGCACGTCATGAAAATAGTTAGCAAATTCGCATACGGCTTTGTGAAACGCCCTGATTATAAGCACCGGGTTTCTATAGGTTCCCCATAGCTTAATAAGGCATGCCAATCTGAACCGGTGAATCGGTAGTTTGATGATACGCAAATTTTTAAATCAGAAAATTTTATAAAGCTTGAGTAAAGACCAAGAAAGCAGGTAGTAAGAGAAAGCTAACAAGTTGAAAGCAGCAGATGTTTCCTGTGACTGCAAAACACTGTTTAAACTCATTACAGTCGGTAAAGCAATCGATGAAGTTGATGGGGCATCAAATAGTAACGTCAAGTGGCGCTCTGAGACCTGAGCAGAAACGTCGATCAGATTGAATTATCCTCCCTAGCTGGCAGCTACTACCCCACCCAATAAAGTGAGGGTCTGTAACGGACTCGAGTCTATGGAGTGTCAGAAGTCTCCAAACTCAGACTATTCTTGTTCATTAAATGCCCCCAAATGCCCTGGTACAGCAGAGAGTGAGGAGATTCCGCTCTCCTCCTCGAAATGCTATCACATGGCCACGCGTATATAGCCTCTGCCATGGAAGTCCTACTCACTGCCTTCTCGTGGCGAGGGTGTTGTTCACGAAAGTGAGAAGACGAAAAGCGAATGTCCGGCGCTTTAACCGGGTTGGTGGACACAGAAAGTTCACTTAGGGGAGTTGGAAAACCCTGATTCCAAACCAATGGTGCACACGGATTCCAGTATCCTGAAGGAACATATGGCGTACAAATCAATCGTTGATCACCGGCTACCATGGGACTGCATCTCCTCACGATGCTCCACTGCCTTGTGGATCAGATCTTTCGGTCAAAGGCTCCGGATGTGGTCCCCTAAGAAAACCACCTGCTTCATTTTGGGCACCCGGGCGGTATCACAGCCCTCACACAAATCAAATGAGATTTGTGCGGAGCATGTGTATCTGGTGTTTCTTTGTACCAATATTTATGTGTTGAAATAAATAAATGTTCATTAACTATTTTAACTTTCCCTCTCTTGCTTCTCTACACTACTATCAACTGATTTGTGGGGTGCATTTTCTAATACCTCATCGTATCAGGATTTGCGCGCTTTAAATAAGATTGGTACATCACAGGTATGCTACACTTAGCGTATGTGGTGTGATTATATGAGTTTAGTGACAGCATTATAAATATATAACTCCGCCTGTAGCTCTTCTAGAGTTACTGCCGGTCCCAAGCCCGGGTAAAGGAGGAGGGTTGGGCATGGGGTTAGCGACCCCATCCCGTAGAATAGCTAACTCGCTAAAAAACGTTAACCAGAAAAAATAATTAAAACAATTTAAAGTCTGCCCTGGGAGTTGAAGGAATAATTATGACGTCTCATAATGAAAGCCGAAATTCTTCGGAAGTCACGAGACCGATGCACCTTCTAAGAACGAGAGCAACACTCTTTATAGGTACATGGAACGTCCGGACAACGTGGGAGACAGGAAAGACCAGCCAAATAGCAATGGAAATGAGGAGATACAACTTGGCAGTACTCGGAATCAGCGAAACCCATTGGACACAAACTGGACAACAAAGGCTAGGCACAGGAGAGATGCTGCCGTACTCCTGTCACGAAGGGGAAAATGCTCCACACACTCAGGGAGTTGCTCTAATGCTGTCCAAAGAAGCACGAAATGCACTTGTGGGATGGGAATCTCATGGACCCAGGATAATCAAAGCATTATTCAGAACAAAGAAGCAAGGGATCACAATGAACGTTATCCAATGTTATGCACCCACCAATGATAGCAACGATGATGATAAAGATCAGTTCTATGAAAGGCTTCAATCAATTATAGAGAAGTGCTCACGAAAGGACCTCACCATCCTGATGGGAGATCTAAATGCTAAAGTTGGAGTGGATAACACAGGATATGAAGATGTAATTGGACGACATGGACTAGGAGAGAGAAATGAAAATGGGGAGAGACTCGCAAACCTATGTGTATTCAACAAATTGGTTATAGGCGGCACAATATTCCCACACAAGTGCATACACAAAGCTACATGGATCTCACCGGACCAAATCACAAAGAACCAGATAGATCACATCTGTATCAATAAAAAATTCCGAAGATCAATGGAAGATGTGAGAACCCGGAGAGGAGCTGACATAGCTTCAGATCACCACTTGGTTGTGGCCAAGATGAGACTGAAGCTAAAGAAAGACTGGACAACTGGACAAACAGCACTACAAAGGTTCAATAAAGCCTTCCTTCGAGATATTGACAAGCTCAATGAATTCAAGATCGCTCTCAACAACAGGTTCCAGGCTCTACAGGATCTACTAAATGAACAAGAAACTACTTTGGAGGACAACTGGAAAGGGATAAAAGAAGCACTAACTTCAACGTGTCAGGAGGTTCTTGGTCCTAAGAAGCATCATCACAAGGAATGCATCTCTATGGGAACCCTGGACAAAATTCAAGAAAGGAAGAACAAGAAACTAGCAATTAACAACAGCCGAAAACGAGCAGAGAAAGTCAAAGCACAAGCAGACTACGCAGAAGCTAACAGGGAAGTGAAGAAAAGCATTAAAGCCGACAAGCAGAAATACATGGGAGAACATGGGAGCAACGGCGGCGGAAAAAGCTGCAAGAGAAGGCAATATGAAACAACTATATGATACAACGAAGAAAATGGCAGGGAGATATAGCAAACCAGAGAGATCAGTCAAGGACAAAGAAGGAAAGATAATCACTGAGATTCAAGAACAGAGGAAAAGATGGGCAGAAAACTTCGAGGAACTGCTGAATAGACCAGCCCCATTGAATCCACCGAACATCGAAGCAGCCCACACTGGCCTTCCTATAGATGTCACTCCACCAACGATTGAAGAAGTCAAGATGGCCATCAGACAAATCAAAAGTGGGAAGGCGGCAGGATCTGACAATATACCAGCAGAAGCACTGATGTCAGACATTGAAATAACTGCAAACATGCTTCACCTTCTATTCAAGAAGATTTGAGAAGAGGAACAAGTGCCAACGGACTGGAAAGAAGGATATCTCATCAAGATACCAAAGGAGATCTGAGCCAATGTGAGAACTACAGAGGTATCAGTTTGTTATCAGTACCAGGAAAAGTTTTCAACAGAGTGCTGCTGAATCGGATGAAAGACGCAGTAGACGCCGAACTTAGGGATTAACAGGCTGGATTTCGTAAGGATAGATCGTACACAGACCAGATCGCGACACTACGGATCATCTTTGAACAATCAGTTGAGTGGAACTCATCACTATACGTCAACTTCATTGACTATGAGAAGGCGTTTGACAGCGTGGACAGGAGAACATTATGGAAACTTCTTCGACACTATGGAGTTCCTGAAAAGATTGTCAACATTATCCAAAACTCATACGATGGACTACAGTGCAAAGTCATGCATGGAGGACAGTTGACAGATGCATTTCCAGTAAGGACCGGAGTCAGACAAGGCTGTCTACTCTCCCCATTCCTCTTCCTTCTAGTGATTATGAAGAATTCGACATCTGAAGGGAAATACGGAATACAATGGACTTCTCAGAATCAATTAGATGATTTGGACTTCGCAGATGATCTAGCTCTCCTCTCTCATACACACGAACAAATGCAGATGAAGACAGCAAATGTAGCAGCAGCCTCCGCATCGATAGGCCTCCACATTCACAAAGGAGAAAGCAAGATTCTCAAATGCAACACGGAGAACACCAACCCAATCACACTTGATGGCGAAACTCTGGAAGAGGTGGAAACATTCAAGTACCTGGGGAGCATCGTTGATAAACAGGGAGGATCGGATGCAGATGTAAAGGCGAGGATTGGCAAAGCAAGGGCAGCATTTCTACAATTGAAGAACATATGGAACTCAAAACAACTCTCAACCAATTTCAAGGTCAGAATCTTTAATAAGAACGTCAAGACAGTCCTACTGTATGGAGCTGAAACGTGGAGAACTACTACGACCATCATCAGGAAGGTACAAGTATTTATAAACAGTTGGCTACACAAAATACCCAGCTGTACCGATAATGAAGTGAAATTTAACAGATAAACTACGGTTTAGTATTAATATAATGGTTTAGTACATATACTCTGGGAATTAATGTAATGTTATCAGATGTCTCTAGAGAAGTGCAACACCTCGACTTGTTTACCTGTTTGTCCACTACTGGTTGATTCTTAGGTACGCAGTCCGAGCTTTCAAATCTTCAGTTGCAAGTGCTTTAACCATGAATTCGTCTTTCTACATATTATAAAACAACCAATAATCAAACTTTAAAACAAGAGTTCTTTAATCTCATCTCACCACGGAAGTGAAATTCAAACATTATTACCGTTGGTGAGGATCGATGGCAGATTGTACTACATTGAAGCTACTAGGTCTAAAACCGAAGATACAGGCCCATCAAGACCAAACTTAGCGAGATTAACAGCACTGAAAGCGAACGAACGTGTGTCAAAACAATCCCCTATTCTCCTTTACGCAGGAATACAGCAGGATAAAAAATATTTTAATGAGTAGAATAGCATAAAACTAATCAAAAACATGCATATCAAACCGAATTCCTGGAATTTATAATAAGACAGAGTGGACTTACTTGAGACATCAAGTGAAGATTAATTCCAATCAAATGAACGGAGAAATGACCGACGAAAAACAACAGTATAAACCAGCCTGGGACCCGGCCATACCTCATACTTGCTAAAACTATTTGCAAAACACTGACGGGTCCACATATTACCAACAGCTGCCATAAGCGCAAAGGGGCCATGGTATATGTGATCAATATGAGCTGAAGAATTAAACTTAGATTAAAAGCCAAAGTAGCACCAGGTTCTGGTGGAGTAAATGCAAGCAAGCCAAGCAGACATGAAATCCATGCGTGACTACCACTGATTAATATAGCTCGAGGTTTGAAAAGCTTGTCGAAGAAGCTCGTTAAGAAATAAGTAATTGAGATCACAACGCCAAGACTGAATCCAATCCTGTACACTAAACAACTATGGTGTTGCAGGATTGAAAAATACACCAACCAAGCAACCGACAGAAAGGCTGTTAGTACAGTGGCAAAACGGAATCTCCCACGAGAGCTTGGGTACGTACATTTGTAGTAAAACGACTCTAATACTTCCGAATCAAATTTGAGATTGAGTATTCCTCCAGAACATCTTTCAAATAGATAAAGCCCTTTGATATTGTGTTTCCCGACTGATCTGACTCCTTTAGTCTTGTCGAAGTTATTTTCTGAAGCCATTGTGGGAACAATAAGTTATGCAAATATCTTAAGCACCATTTGAGTGGGTGAAGTTATGTAATATGAGTAACTGATATCAAAACCTTCAAGATAGGACCAGAGCTTCGGAGTAATGATACAATATTCTTATCAGACGATAATTAATTTGGTGAGCTGACTTTCATAACTCATTATTACGTGTCCTACAATTTGGACCGAAGCCCCAGTCATGAAACAACGACCAGCCCTTCCCGCGCGGCTCCAAATGTTTCCCGATATATCCAATATCCAATATATTCGCTCCGGGCTATTATAAACCGAGTTATTTCTTTCCTCTCGTTCCCAGTGTATCCAATATTTTTGTCGCGAGTTTGTATAAAATAATTCACTTATTTGCGCTAGCTTGTTATTGTTTCGGCACAGTTTCAGGTATTTGATAATGTCCAGCGGGTGGTATTCTAATGACTTGATTGCACCAATTCTAGTGTGTTTGTTAGCGACTAATGGGTTTGCATATCTTGTATTTCAGTTAGCTACGTTCGTCTCAGGACAGCTAGGATTTTGGATGCCAGCAACTATCACATCAGCAGGAGGTTGGTCGCTATATAAAAAATAAGAAAGTGAATATTCTAGAGCTAAGAAAAGAAAATTGCCCCAAAAAATAAACAAATAAATCGGCTCAAAAAATCTTTGCACGCACTTTACAAATGGGAAGTATTATCCTTACGTGATTTAGACCTCTCAAACTTTTACTAGGTTTCCGCGCAACATAAGTACAGTTATCGGTCCAAAGAGTATGTCCTGAGCTTGATGTTCGGTAGATCACTTTTCCTTAACAGTTTTACCCAAATCCTAAGTTAAGTTTGGTTTTGTCACAGCTAAAAAATACGGAAGTTGGCTTCACGAAGCATGGACAGATCTGACAGCAACTGCTTACAACGGACTTAGTAAGTCAGATAGCAAGTGTGTAAGTGGCACAAACAAGGAAAAAAGGAAACGAGTACAGGGACTATCTACTCGGAAAGCCCTGTGTTGGCAGGCTCCCTGCCCAGTCATATAAAGCCTGGTTAAACAAACTGGACGATAAAGGTCATATGTTTAAATCGATAGCACGAACTGTGAGAGTTTACCGAACAAAATGAAAGAGTTTCATGGACTAAGTTTCGCCAATATTACTCATCTGATAGAAATACCTGAAACGTGGACGTCTTCTCAAATTACGGAACAACAACTTGCAATACCCGGGATATCTTTGTTTCGAGACGACAGAAAAACAAGAATGAGAGTAAGACAGCCCTGTATCTACGATCTTGCTTGGTAGTACACCAAGTGTACACCTAAAGATCCCACAGGTATTTGGAGTTTGACCGTGCCTTTACATGTAACACCTTTGTATTCGAAATATACCAATCCAGCCGAGTCAGAAATGAAGAGGTTCGAAGATATATTTGAAAGGCTATTGATATATAGGAAAGCGTTTAATCCAGGCTAGCTAAGAGTTTTAAAATGTGTGTGGCACGGCATACCCACTCGTGATCTGGTGTAGATGCTTGAGCCCCTTCGGCTAGATGTGTCCATTAAAACTAATGGGGTCAGCATCAAATGCCGAAGACGTACACAACTTCACATTTTGGAGTTATTTACCTCTACAGCTCACTGAGGTCGATTGGAAAACGGTTCTACTGAATGCACGTTTGCTCGTGTAGGTTTAGATCCGTATACATTGAAGAAGATGAAAAGCCCAAAAGTTCTACTGAAAGTCAGAGTGTCATTCCGTAAACGAGTTGTACCACAGTGTATACAATGAAAATTATCCATTGTCAAGAGTTTGCAGTGGAGACTAACTGTTGGTAAAGTAGTTTTACCAACGTTTGGCAAATTAGGTATTTACTGTATGATTACCAGATTTTACTAAGATGTTCTGTAATCATGTGTTCAAGTACGTCCCCACTTGTGTTCCTGTTCATTGCATTTGGTGTCAGTGCCAACCAGGAGGGTGGAAGAGTACACTTCTGTGGACGCCGCTTTGGGCATGGAGCTTGGATGCTAGTTGGGGCGGTCTGGATGGCAGAGGTAATAAGACAACGGAAAAGTTCAGATTCAAACTGGCATCCGCAGTCTGTAGTGACAGTTGAAGGGCAGCCGAAGTTTACTACCCATCGTTGAAAGAAAGCATGCGCTATTGTTTCAACAATAATGTCGTCAATAGATACTGCTTCTGGACATCGAGTGAAACCTTCTATACAGGTTAAAAGATAAGAGTATCCATTTGAATCTGATAAAGGTCTTACCAAATTCAGATGAACAGGGACAAAACGAGCTTCAGGAGTTTTGGATGAGCCTAAGAGATACTTGTTGTGTATATTCACGTTAAACTTCTAGCAGCTTACACAGGAGCGTGCCCACTCCATTACGTCTTTATTCATACCAGGTCAGCAAACACTGTCCTGCTATGAGCACCTGGATGAGAAAGTTTGTGCAACGTAATGAAGACGTTGTGTCGATGATGTTTCGGCACGATTGGTCTCTAGATGTGTCACATAATGTAGTTTTCTTGCCCGTTTCCATCTGTTTCTATCAATTTTAGAATTGTTGAGGATAACTCGTGCTGGAGATCAGTGTCTTCTTCTTGAAGATGGGAAAGTTTAAGAAGTTCGATTCCTTGGAAACTGTTCAAGGAAGTTTTACGAGACAAGGCATCCGCAATTATATTGTTTGCTAAAGAAGTATGTTGTATATCTGAAGTGAACTGAGAAATGTAGTCCAGTTGCCGAGACTGTCGAGGGGAGTACTTATCTGAAGATGAGCTTAAGGATTAGACAAGAGGTTTGTAATCGGTGGAAAGAGTGACTTCCGGGCCTTCAATAGTGCCGTACCTCACAACTCTTGGCCAGTCGTTTCGTACGTTAAGCGTTACATCTCAATTCAGTGACTACTACCCTTCTCGAGAATAATACCAATGGTTGCTAGGATTGGTTAACTCATCGTTGCAGGACCCCCCATTGCTGGCTCTGGTACGTCTATTGAGATACTAATGTGTGATTGAATGTCATGGCATACAACTATGGGTGCTCTTGCAGGAAGCTCCTGAATCGTGAGGAATATTTTCCCAGCACTGTCGTCCAAATTGATGAGCTTCGGACTTACAACAATTAATTCTGTTAAGAATTACACGAAAAACAAGCAGTTCCAAATTAAAATCACAGAAACAGCCTGTGAGAACAGTGTTGAAACGGCTCGATGAAAATGAAATGAAAATACATCAAACTGTGTTTTCAATGTTTAAACCCTAGAATATCTCGAGCACACAGTAAGCTCAAAAGAGGTTACACCGACCAAAGAAGAAGTGGAAATCACCATACAATACCCCACACCTAGTTCTCTAACACAACCTAAAAGTTTTCGAGGTCTAATGAACTTTGGTCGATGATTCATACTAACTGACTCAAGCATCTACGTTGACATATCCGAATCCCCATCCATCACTTGCTTTGACGGTGGATGGTTCGGACAAAGTAATGGGTGTTACCCTTAACCAAGTGGTTGAAAACGCTTGGAAATCTGTTGCTTTCTCCTGAAAAATCTCGCTCCAGCAGAGACAAAGTATTTTACTCTTAGGCGAGAACTTCTTGCATCTTACCAAACCATTAAGTATTTTCGACACAATTCGGAAGGCAAGGACTTCATAGTTTATACGGATCACAAACCACTGAACAGTGTACTGAAAGTGAGAGTCAACAAATACACAACTTCAGAATTCAAGCACCTTGACTGTATGTCACGGTTCACAAATGACATACATGTCACAGGTCAGGACAATCAGTAACAAATGCAGTATCGCAAAGTTAGTAGATAATAATCTCCGCACAATTTTGGGGAAGGAAGGTCGAGGCATTTCCTTGGACGTGCCGCATTAAATCAGGACACTGTCAATACATGATGCTAGCTGCTTTATTTTGAGGGTAGAGTTGCTTGCTATAAGTAGGTATTGTAATTCTTGATCCTCTTCCTGGTTGCCTCTCAAAGTCTCGAAATTCAATGAGTCCTGCTATGACTGGGTCTTTTAATGGATCTTCATTTCGTATGTGATTTGTCGTACGTGATTTAGTTGGGCGACCTCTTTTCATTGTTCTAACTGCAATACGCGCTAAGTGAGATAAAAGGGTGTCAGGGTCTTGCGCATCCAAACACTTTTGCACGTAGCATGAAAGAGCTTGTTTTAGGACAACTTCATCTACTGTATTGTCATCACTAAGACTTTGATGTGACATAAAAACCCTAATGGTGATCTATCATCTAGTGTTTCTTCTTGTAATAACTTTTGGATTCTCTGACTGTTTAATAATGATAAACGGTTCGTTATCTCCCGTCCTAATATTGTTTATAGTTGTGGTGATGGTGTATCAAGTCGTGAAATACATTGGCGACTGACGAAGGAACGATAGAACGCAAATCTCTGTGGCGAATTTTCTCAGATTCGTGAAGTAATGCTCTATTTGAGCAAACCACAATTCAGGGTCTCTGCGATCAAACTCTGGGAGTCGGACTTTCGTAGTCATAACAGTGCCTATTTCCAACGGTGATATACCGTTCAGGCTTTTGGTTTCCGTTGAGTGTAACATGAGGTATATGATCAATGTAGTAATACAATAAGAACTGGGCATGACTATAGCACGAATACTGACGCCACAAGTTGGAGTGGGAATATGAAGCCCCCAAGGCAGTTTATTCGCTAAGAACAAGATAGGTTTCCATTCGAGGATGTCCATGTCCTCTCATCAATAGGGAGTATTGACTTTAGTAGTCATTTCTAACATGATCACATACGAGATAATAGTTGCGGTATGTTTGAAGTTTGCCTTGCAATTAACCGGTATCTTTTATAAAGTGTTTATATATCCTTTAATTCTAGTGTAAACTAATATTAGAATTAAACCTTCAAGTAAAATGAGTCGACTGACAAAAACGAGCCTGAAAAACCGTAACTTCACAAATAATAACAATTATGTTATTGCCTATAACGCATGCTCTGCAACTCCTTTTGAATCAGATAATGTTGGGAATGGACTTATACCACGCCTGCTGCTGAATGGCTCAGTCTCTAATATAATAATTAGTTATACCTCAAGATCAAAACGTATCGATTATGCTAAGAGTGAATTAGACACTATCTATAAGCAATTAAGCTATGTGTAATCTAAAGTACAGTCACTTGCGAGCTCTTTATCAAGGCATAATCATCTTAAGCAAGAACTAAAATCACTACCACCCCTTAAACTGCTATTGTAAAGGTATGTAGTTCCTGCGAAACTTGGAGCCAGGATCAAAGTAGAATCTGTTATCGATTTTGTCGCCAGCGGATTTACTAAGTGAATATTCTCTCGAAATAACGTGATTATCTATAACATGCCTGACAAAATCGTCATTATATCCGTAAGGAATTCTACATTAAAGGCAGCTAATCTGCAAGATAGTTTATGCCAATGTATTCGACCTAACAAAAAGCACCAGAAATACTGGTGCCTCATCGTGTTGAGATTCGACTCTCATTTATTAGCTGAACAGTTGAAAGAATCCGAACGACTAATCTGTGCGCTTGTGAGGTTTAGAAACGCTCTTATAGTCTCAGATTAGACCACCAACCAAAGACCTACGCAAAAGCGTACCATAAACTAAAATAACGTTGTTGAGATTACAACGAATCCCGTTGCCTCAGCAACTGAACTCATACGTTCAGTTAACCTATCTCATGTTACTTAGTACACGGATTTACCAAATGAAAAGTTCTAGTTTGCCTCTTCTGCCTGTAGTGACCTCAGATAATCAATGTATATCTAATGGAGATACTAATCCGATATTTTCCAATGTAACATTAGAAGCCCATAACCAAATACCTAGTTCGAATATGAAGGGTCTTAAAAACACTGTTAAGATTAAAAATCCTATACCAGGTATGAAGAAAGTATGTATAAAGCCTTCTGGTTCCAGACCAAATACCAAAAATATTACGATGGCCCTATCAAACAAAAATATGCTTTCCGACACCATGCTTTACCCCACTCATTG